TAAACTTCTGAGCCTTGAGCAGAGAGGGGTTTTGGATTTTCCAAACACAAAAAGACTCTTCGCCATAAGTTTTCATTTTCCGCACATACACATTTTTTTGTTAACTTCCGCTTCTGTCAAGATGCGTTTTGCCGCAACACCCAAAGACAACTTTGCCGTGTTGTTGTTGGTCTTATTATTCCGCCAGAGGCGAAAGCCTTCAAAAGTTGCCTTACTCTGCCTTGGTTTATAATGAGATCGCAGATCCTGTATGTATATGGGTTGTGTGTGCTTTGGTTTTTCGCCAGTGCTGCCAGCTTTGGATTTGGGAAGGGCCTTCAAGTTGAAGTGTTTAAATTTTGTAACAACATTTTTTTTTAGGAATTTTAAATCAAGAATAAATAGATATACCACCATGTTGTGCGCGGTGTATCAAAAATATAACTACGGTGATTAATGATGAGGCGTTACCGACTCGAGCTATTATCTTTTCTCAGCCAACTGTAATATGACGTCTGATTATGATATAGATATTATTTCTACAAAGTTTTATGATTGTTTAGTAACAAAATTATAGGTTTTTAACTTAAATTTCAACTAACTCCACTTAAAAAGATGGTTACAGGTGTTTTGAAAATGCCCCAAAACTGGAGACTAGTTTAATAAATAAATAAACTCTCATAAGGACCGAATATCCGTTTCGAAATGAATATTTAAATATCATATAAGGGTAATTTTTTAGGTTAATTGTTAATGTATTATATTTATGCATAATTTATCAAAGATATATTCTGGTAAAATCATGAAAATGAGTATAGCATGGAGGTAAATTTAAAATATCAAGTTTTAAAGCATTTCATAATTTGGGAGGACTAAAGCTCACGCGTCCGCCAAAGTGGGCAACACTGGTCGACGCCTTCCATCTCTGCCCTTTCTTCTGCTGTTTGATGTCTTTTCCCGTTTTCATGCAACATTCCCGTCTACCCTTAGTTTCCTCATGTTTTTCAGGCTTTTTTGCAATGTTCACATTCTGTGAAAAATATATCAAGTTGCCGGGCATTGCTGACAGCTCCAAGAAGGATTTGCAACAAGCGAAAAAAAAGAACAGAGAAAAGCTCAAGTAAAACTTTTTACACTTCTCTGAAGACACGTGGTGCACCTTTGTAATTGTTGTTGGTGCTGCATTTGCAGCTGCATGAGTTGCAACATTATGTTGTTGCTCTGGGAGCTGTTTTATATTTTTGTTATGCCATCTGAGGCTTGGGATGTTCGAAGGGTACCCCTTTATATTTACTGAGTTGGCAAAGCCCCCAGCTCGAAGCATTAATTGAAGTTTTTAGGGATATATTAGAAATTTTTGTGCAAGAAGTTGTATTCCAAGTTGTAAGACTTCTTAAGCAGATGGGTTTATAAAATAACTAAAGCGAATTGCACATCAGTTTCGTACTTTTTGAAGTGCATTTTTCAGGCCTAGTTTACCTTTCATACAATCAAATATGCAAATGATTGGTGAGTCCACCTCACCAAAAGTTGAATAAAAATTTCGCCCAATCTTTTTATTTTTAATTCAACCAACTGATAGGAGGCAAGAGGCGTTTAATTTTGCATAAATAACGAACAATATTTTCCACTAAATTCCAAGTCCTTACTCTCTCATATTTTGTCATCGTGGGCAATAAAAACAAAGGCCGGGAGGTAACCGGCCGGAAATGATTTGTTGTTAGAAACTGAGGCTCCCACTGGGATAGGGATAAGGCCCAGAAGGATTCAGGAGTCTCTTGCAAAGTTTTGTCCAAGTTCAGGAGCAATTAGAGGTCGTAAAGTGTCTGTCTTTGGGTTCATGGTGTTGTTAGTTCGATTTAATTAGTCATCCTTAAGTTTAAGAATATTTATTTGTTCATTTTTGACAATTATCATAAATTATCACAAATCATTTCTCCAGGAAGAGAAATTGTGTATTATTTTATCTATTATACAGTCGACAATTTTTATACCCTTGCAGAGGGTATTATAATTTTTTCCAAAAGTGTGCAACGCAGTGAAGAAGACATCTCCGACCCTATAAAGTATATATATTCTTGATCAGGATCACCTCCTGAGTTGATATGAGCATGTCCGTCTGTCTGTTTCTACGCGAACTAGTCTCTCAGTTTTAAAGCTATCGTCTTGAAACTTTGTACACACCCTTCTTTCCTTTGCACGCAGTATATAAGTCGGAACGGCCCGGATCGGCCGACTATATCCTATAGCTGCCATATAACTGATTGATCGGAAATGGTATAACTTTGGTGTTTTTAGAGTTAGAGAGTTCAAATTTGACATGAGAGCTATTTTTGGCAAAACATTACGCCATGCCAAATTTCATAAGGATCGGCCGACTATATCCTATAGCTGCCATATAACTGAACGATCGGAAATGACCCAACTTTCGTGTTTTTGAAGATAGAAAGCTGGAATTTAATACAGAATCTATTTTTGGTCAGTTGATCTAACCTACCAAATTTCATTAGGATCGGCCGACTATATCCCATAGCTGCCACATAACTGAACGATCGGAAATGGTATTTGGTAGAAATATCAACTTTCGTATTTTTGAAGATAGAAGTTTGGGACTTTTTTTAGATTTTGTATTGTAATAAATTGGAGTATATATTCCTATTCCCATAAGGATCGGCCAACTATATCCGATGTTTGCGATATATATCCGGTTTTAACTGCAAGGGTATATAAACTTCGGCTCTGCCCGAAGTTAGCTTTCCTTTCTTGTTTAGGTTCTGTTAAGTCATCACTCATGTGGAATAAATTTGTTGCACCGTTGTTTCGTTTCAAGAATTTCTGGGGGATTTATAAGCTTTTTTGCAGAAAAATTCAGTTAAAATAATCATCTACTTATTCGATTTTACACAAGAAAATAAAAAAAACAATATTTTTATTAAAAGTTACTGAAAATAATGTCTTTTTTAAACATACATACATAAGGGGAAAGTAATAAAAAATAATATCCATTTTGCATAGTTGCTGATTAAAACGAGAAACGATAAAAAAACGATAATTGAGTTTCCTGGCTATATTATAGACGGTACCCATCTCTTCTACTCACACTTTAACTAAAGTTTAATGGTTTTTTGCGTTCCGAAAAATACTACTGAAGCAATTCAGTTTTGAAGCAGAATAAAATATGTATAACTTTTCTAAAAATTGTCTGATTGGGCTGAATTTTGACTTATAGGTAAGGATTAGCTATTTCTGTTTTGGGGGCGGGAGTGGTCAAGTCAAAATGTTGATGCAAATGCTTGATCTTCGTGGATAGGAGTTCCCTGTTCTAAATCGGATATTTCTTTCTCTTATAGTCTTTGAGATCAACGCGTTGAAAATCTTAGCACGTTAGTATGGGCATTGGTATATATAAGTCGATATCTCCTCTTAAAATCGGCGGATATAAACTAGCTAAAGGAATAGTTTGACTTCAAAAATTTTCAAAAACCTTCCTTTACTGGCGCTTTTAACTGCTTTTAACTGAGTCTCAATGCCAAATATTATAGCTCTATGTCTCATAGTCTCTGAGAATCAGGTTTACATACAAATAGATGGACATGGCTATATCATGAACATTGCAAAGAATATACTTTATGGGGGTGAAGATGATAAAGAAAAAGGGAAACAATCAGGCATGCTCCGGTTCTCACTTTCGGTTGCTCCCGTTTTCACTTTCACAAGATTTTTTCGAATTCAAAAACGAAAAAATTTGTCTTGCCTAAATGAAAAGTAAATGCCTTTTTCTATATTAAATCGGATCTTATTTGCAAAAGGAAAAAAATAGTTGACTTATTGGTTTATTGTCGTTCTATTAAGACCTCTAGAAGATCAATTAGGCTTGTAGTTATTTTTAAAACGAGTAATTTCTGACCCCACCTCAAATTCGGATATCAAATTTTGCCGTCGGCAACAACAATTTTCGTTTTGGTGAACGACCGATAAGTTTGACACCATTAGTTATCGCCTAAGCTGCCATACTTTTGATAGAATAAAAAAGCAAGTTAAAAATACTTGTATAATCAAATGGATGGCGATAAATTTGTTGAAATTAGGTAAAATACGTTTTTTAAAAATTAATTAATTTAATTTAATTAGTTATGTGCTAAAAGTGTATAAAAAAAATTGTTGAAAACACCGGAATGAAATGAAAATGAAATCCATTGAAAAGGTGGCATTCCCTTAACTTGGTTTTTCTGGCTTTTCCCCTTAATTCTTTTGGATACAAAAGACGCAACTGAATATAAAAAAGGCATTTTTTCGCGTTGTTTGCTGCTGACCAAACCTCAAATCACCTGTTTCGGCAGCAAGAGAAATGAGAAATTAAACGTTTCGATAGCAAAACGATAACTAAAAACTTGTGAAAACCGGAGCACCTAAAATCGAAAATCTCGGTTTTGGTCCCAAAACGAAAACGAAAACCGAAAGTGAGAACCGGAGCATGCCTGTATACCTCACAGTATACAATAGAAAATAAAAAACTAAAATAAAATGAACAAAATAAATGTATTCATACCAAATTTCTACTTTTTTTGCCTGGAAATCTCTGGTATCTTACTACTTCTCTGTAATTTTTGATAAAAGTAAAAGTCCTCAATTTCCAAATGTATCTGAAAGGCAAGAATGAAAAAAACTTTTTTTTTGGTTTGCAGACCCTTTTCTTAAGTAAGTACATGCTCATTTATATTTTTAAAGCATTGTAGTTTAAACTCGTTTTATAACCTTTTATCCAAAAAAAGACTACGTACGGCTAACCATAAATACCATAAATTAAATATTCCAGTTCTGTTCCTAATGACACTTTTTTTACAAGGGTATCCTTTATGTTGCCTAGAGTGCCAAGGAAAAATGTGCAGAAATGCGATAAAAACGTGGAGTGTTTAAAAAAAAACGCAAAACCAATACACGCAGAATATGTACACACACTGCAGTCCAGCTTTTCAAGAGGGGGAGGTGGAAAGTTTCGGACTTTCGCGAACATTACTTACCCGCCTCGCCAAGTTTTGTTGTTTGCTGCATGTGCCAGCAGAAGCGCTCATACTCCCCGGTAGATGGCGCCTGTGCCGCCTTCACCGCCTGCATGTGCTTGGTGAATGCCCCAACAATGGCCGCCATGCGATCGAAGGCCGCCATATTGATGTGGCCATTTGCTAAGCTACAACGGTACGGGAAACAGAAAAGAGTGGAGAACATAAGTGGGGGGGCGACTGGCAGAGTGGTAGCCACCGAGGCGCGGCCTTAGTCAGAGAATAATGTTGTGTTGGCTGATAAAGAGTTCGGCATTATATTTGCAATGCAAAATGGCTGCGGATAGAACTAAAACAAGGTTATGCACATAAAAAATAAATAGAACACACGATAAACGTTCAAAAATCAATGCGGTTGCTGGAATAATAAATTTATAAATAAATAATACATTTATTCGGATGATAGTAAGGTAGTTTGGAAAAGAATTTGACGTACCTTTAACTTCAAATTAGTAATTTTAATTTTTAATATGTAATTTTAAAAATAATATTTAAAAAATAATGAATTTATTTTTAATATTTAAGAAACTGAATAGTACTGGATTTTTTTCTAAAAAAAAAATGGTTTAAGGTTAGGGAAAATGCATCTAAAATTTATATTGAGATTATTTCAATATTGATTTTTTCAATTTATAATATTGTTTATTGTTTATTTTATTATTTCTTAAAGTAGATTCCTCTGTGCAAAGCATACGATATGACGGCTGAGCAATTAATGTGGCAACGTCGTGTTTAATTAGCGCATTGAAAAGTCGATTTACGCTTTCACGCTCCAACTCGCTGCACAACTCGCTGCGACATTGAAATTCCTGAATGGAATGGGGCTTATTTTATTTTTCCTCTGCCACTGCAAAATGGACTGTGATTAAATTCGAGGAAAAACTGGCTCGCCCCTGACGGTGGATGAATATGTGCGCCTAATGAGGTCAATTGTGACCACCAGTGGCCGGTGGGGCATACTTTATTGTTTGTTCCATCTCGGTATCGCTTGGTCTAAAGGGAGCCATACGCTCAGTGAAAATTTCAGTCGGCAATGCTTGTGGTGGAGCGGGATTATGGTCTAAATGGGTTTTAAATAGGCGTGAAATAATCCGAATGTTTTATTTAGAGAACACATCCGAGAATGAATAGATAGGAGTCAATATATAATGATTTATGCAGGGACTGCAAATAAGCATTATTGGTTTATTTTCAACCGAAAAATTATTCATTTTTCTTCTTAAATTTATATTAAATTTATATATTAAATTTATATTCTTTGATTAATAAATAAACATTATTTCTTGGGTTCTAAAAAACAAAGATTATTTTACGATTTTTATTATAAAACTCATGTTTCTTATATGATAAGAATCTACCTCTATAAGAGGGATTCTATCTTTATAAGAATCTCTAGAAGAATAAAGCTTTTAATCCAAATCAGATTATCAAGTGCATTTTAATATTAAAGCTATTTTAAAGCAGAAGCAAAGAACAAAATTAATTTGCAGAAATTTTAGGCTTCAATGCTTTTGTTTCAAAAGCTGCTATAAATAAAAATGCAAATAAATGGAAAAGGAAATGCTTTTTATTTATAGTCCTTTTTATGAGTTTTCTGCACGGAAATGATTTGCAGGCTCTTCGTTGGCACATATTCATTTATTTTGCCACTCTGCGGTTAATTAATTTGAAGCGTAAATAAATATAAATGAGAATATAAATACGTGCGGGAGATAAATGATACGAGAGCCGAAAGGAAATGCAATTGTTTGCGGATGCGATTGATCACTCGATATATATTAATCTTGCGACCCTGGTGGGGGGCCTGATCTCGGAACGTGATGAGGCAGACCCATCAATCAGGGCCGGCAAATTGAACTCACCGCTGCAAACAGTTCTCCCGCTCGCCCAGGGCCAGCTTAACAATATCCGCAAACACCGGAATAACAACCCAATCATTGGGCTTGCCACTCGCTGCTAATGGTGTGGCTGAAATAGCGGCTGTTGCCGCGTTAGATGTTGCTGCTGCCACAGGAGTTCCCGATGCTGTTGTTGCCTCCCCGGCATTATTGCCACTAGTCGCAGGAATGGAAGCCATTTCTATTGAAGCTGCTGTTGGTGCAAAAAAAAATATGTAAATATTAATAGGCAAGTGTTTATTTAATTGTAAATATCAAAAACATTTTATAAATGTGTTTATAAATATATTGCATTTATGAAATGGTTAATAAATTCAAGAGAAGTATTTGATCATTTCATGTGACTATAAAAAAATAAACTCATTCAATAATGTTAACTAATGAATGTTTTTCGTTATACATAGTAAATGTCATGAATATTATTTCAGTGTACGATTGCATTCATACCCACAGGTTCTGCTACGCCAACTATTCGCCCACTGGTCGAGGGCTTTTCATCGGATGCCGAGGCACCAGTGGCCTTTGTTGCGGGCACAGCTACCCCCGCCTCGGCCTGCCCTCCCTCCAGAGGTCCTGGTCGCCCCTTGGCCTGCTTATCAGTCTTGAGTCCTTCCTGGTGCTCGTTTAAGACGATGGCCTGCTTCTGCCACAAATGCCCATGGCCTTCGGCGTGGCGCTGCATGCAGTCCAATTGTTGGCACGTCACTTGCAATTTGCTCCACTGTAATCAAATCGAAATCCATAAATGAGCATCATTTCTATTGGGGTAATCCCGATGTGGAGCCACCCTGTTCCAATTTACTTCTATTATCCGTTAGGACCTCCCTTTTTGTTTTATTTTTGTATTTTTGTGGGCTGTAAAAGTTTATGGTCTTGTTTTTCTGACTGACTGTGTGACTTTTATGTTTGTAATTTGCGCGGAAGCTTTAGATCGAATTTTATGGGCGACATTTGGCCTGTCTGATAACATATTAATTACGGATTCCAAGGGGCATCAGCAAACGCTTTTGAGGGGATTTTACAAGCACAAGAGTGGAAGGGCACAGCGTCTTGAGGCGCTATCTCGAAGCTTCTTGAAAAGTATCCTTTTGTGGAGCGGCAGCTCGTTAGAGTAAAATGTATAATAATTTCGAACAGCGCTTTGTGATGGTTAAAGTTGTTTGAGGTTTGCATTTTTTGTGGACGCAGTCGGGCATATTTATGGCCGTCGTCCGATGCACACTCATAAACATTTCAGCATCCACTATAGAAATATATTTCCATGCATCCCCTCGGAAATACAATGCACGCGACACGCCTCCTCTCGCCCCCAACTATGCACCACTTGCATTTTGAATAGTTCTGTGAATTTATGCAATTTCGCTTCATTTTTTGTTTGCCGAGGGGATTTTTTCATTTTCAGCTGTATGCATTGTCCTGGGCGACGCACTCGCACAAAGGACTCCACAATTTACAGTGAGAAATTTCACAATAAAAGATAAATTAAAATTAAGGGCCACTACTAGGGATTAATTAAAGGATTTCATGTAAAGTGTTTTATGCGGTTTCAAAGGGAAGTCATAGAGGCCTGCACTCCACATTGGACACCACTTTAGCCAAAGGTGTTTTCCGTTTCAACTGCAGCTTAGTAACTTTGAACTAAGTACTTCGTAATGAATGGAAAAAATTTAAAATGAGTCCATTAACTAATTAAAAAGTTTCATTATACCCTTGCAGAGGGTATTATAATTTTGTCCAAAAGTGTGCAACGCAGTGAAGGAGACATCTCCGACCCTATAAAGTATATATATTCTTGATCAGGATCACCTCCTGAGTTGATATGAGCATGTCCGTCTGTCCGTCTGTCCGTCTGTCTGTCTGTCCGTCTGTCTGTTTCTACGCAAACTAGTCTCTCAGTTTTAAAGCTATCGTCTTGAAACTTTGCACACACCCTTCTTTCCTTTGCACGCAGTATATAAGTCGGAACGGCCCGGATCGGCCGACTATATCCTATAGCTGCCATATAACTGATTGATCGGAAATGGTATAACTTTGGTATTTTTAGAGTTAGAGAGTTCAAATTTTAGGTGAGAGCTATTTTTGGCAAAATAATACCACATGCCAAATTTCATAAGGATCGGCCGACTATATCCTATAGCTGTCATATAACTGAACGATCGGAAATGACCCAACTTTCGTGTTTTTGAGATAGAAAGCTGGAATTTAGTACAGACTCTATTTTTGGTCAGTTGATCCAACCTACCAAATTTCATTAGGATCGGCCGACTATATCCTATAGCTGCCATATAACTGAACGATCGGAAATGGTATTTGGTAGAAATATCAACTTTCGTATTTTTGAAGATAGAAGTTTGGGACTTTTTTTAGATTTTGTATTGTAATAAATTGGAGTATATATTCCTATTCCCATAAGGATCGGCCAACTATATCCGATGTTTGCGATATATATCCGGTTTTAACTGCAAGGGTATATAAACTTCGGCTCCGCCCGAAGTTAGCTTTCCTTTCTTGTTTTTTGATAAAAAACTAGCCCCTTTCGGCTGAATGCGCGGCCACAGTCTGTGGAGGTAGGCAGAGGCGGGGAGAATGCCAAATAAGTGAGTAAATACATAACCTGATGGAATTGGGCCAACTGCAGCGAAAGTGTGGTTGCTTGGGCGTGGTCATCTCATTTTTTAGCTCCCCCCCCCCCCACAAAAGGGAGGTCTTTGTGCACATAAAAAATAAGAAGTCGCTGGGAGGTTTCGTTGTTATGACAACGTGGCACAACTTTTGCTGTCGAATTATTATTCATAGTTTCCCAAAACAGTTCTCTCAGCGAAATTTTTAATTAAAAAAATAATATTTCAAAAGTATTTGGATCTGTTGATTCACTGCGGTTCCATCCGAGCAAATAGAATTTGAGATAGCAACTCCATTACGTCGTTCAATATTTAATCAGAAGCCGTCAGACGAACCCCGAACAAGGCTCTAACCCGCTTAAGCTCCCTTACGCCAAAATGCATTAGGCTGCATAAATATCTGCTGACACGCCCGAATATCCTGTCCGGTTTGGCCCAAAGCAGGATTCTTCTTCAGTTCACACACAAAAAGCGAAGGGGGAACGGATATGGCAGGAAAGGATCTTAGTTCTTGTAGGAATAGACTACGCTAGTGGGAGTTCCTAAATACAGTCTGCTTCATGGGGTATTTTGATTTATGCCTCGGTTTCGGAATAGTCTTTATGCTGATGGCTGAGTCGAAGAGCGAAAAGTGAACAGAGTGAGGATATCGAACGGATATGGCTGCTTTCTGCTCTGATGGCAAACCCCTTTTTTCGATAACTGAAAAAAACAGGGAACATAATCTTCAAGGTACTATCGAGATGAAATGGAGCCGGAAGAGACAAAAATGAAGAAAAAGAAGAAAAAAGCTGGCGAAGGTCGAAATTCTGTGCATACTACTAGCTGAATGGATAGTACCTATTAACAAAGATTATTAAGTTATCAACTATGATAGTAAAGGTATCAACTATTTTTACTTGTAAACATAGTTGGTACCAGTCGAAGCAAGTATATGAATGACAGGTTTGAATTTCAAATGGATTTGTATAAGACTTAGGAATTCTTCAGATTATTTTTTTAAATTTTTCGTCTCAAGGAAAGAGTTATTTATTTGACAGTTCGAATAACGATTGGATCCTTCTTAGATGAACAAAATATTTAAACTAACATTTTTTTCGTATTAAACAAATATTATTGTGCCTCTAAAATGCTTAAATAAGCATATCTGCTCCTTCGACTTAACATGAATGAAATGGCCTCTGGGCGCCGCTCTCTAACTTTTTACTGCCTGCACTCGCACTGCACATGGAAGACTGCCTCGGAAGGAGCAGTTTTATTATCCCAGACCCATGTTTTCATGTGCCAATGATAATACTTGGACTTTTAGCGTGGCTTGAGTTTGAGATTCCGAGTTTATGGAAATTTTCTTTTTGAAATGTTTACTCTCGCGTGCATGGAAATGTCGTTAGAATTGATGTCTGCGCCAAATAGAATTCCATTTGGTTTAGTGACTTTTCCGAGCTCTCATTACGTGGAGCCCTCTGCCGCGAGGCTTGACTCTAATTAAAGTTTCTCTGCGCAATTTGCCGAGGAATTATGAACAAAGCCCATTTGGGAGCCCCGCCACGTAATTTGCCTATAAAACTGTTGTCTATTTAATTTCAAACATTTGTTTTGCCAAATTTGTGGAGAGGCATGTCCCTGTAACTGGCATTGAAAACTTTATTTTAAGCGGAAGTGCGGAAGGCTTTGACTTGTTTTACAGGTACAACTTTATAACTGTGTCAAAATTTCGACTATCTATTTGGTAAGTATATATTGGGTATATGACATTATTATTTTATCAATAGAAACTCATTTCAGATACGGAAATCCCTGCTGCTGGTTAAATGAACCAAACCATTATCCGCAGCAATAAATTATTTATTTTTTGTGACAAATTAGTCGATCTCGCAACAGATATCTGTTGTTGGGTCATAGATAGCCTAGCATTAGGGAATAATTAATTATGCGTCTATATAATATTTATTTCCATTATTTGGAATAGTTTCTGACTGTTGACCTACCGTTATTTTAAGCCGGGCTATGGCCGGGGATTCCAGGGACTCCAGAATGGCAGTCGCGCTGTTGTAGTTACCCACCAGAAGGCAGTACTGGGCCACCCCGCTCCAGAGTTCCACGGTTCGGCTGCGCTGCTCGATGCCGCCGCTCTAAATGGGAAAAGGACAATGTAGCCGGCAGGATGAAAGATTTATTTGATTACGGAAGTTAGTTAGACGTAGGGTGAAGGAAAGGAGGGATGTAGGAAGGATAGGAATGCGCCGCCCCAGAGAGGAGGCGGCTGAGAGGGAGAATCGGACATGGCTGGACCCACGTGACTTGGCTAAAGTTTTAACGAGTCGCTTACACGGCCAACTGGCAAACTGTCAATGAGACAGTTACGAACAGCATAAATTATAAGCCTTCTTGTGAGCCTGCCTGCTTGCCGCTTGCGTACAGTGGTGGTTCTGACAAGAGTTCTCATATGCTTGTAATCAAAATAAGATGCCGGAAGTATCTGAGGATATATTTTTGTACAGACTTCCTGTGCGTATGAGCAATTATGTTATATTGAAAGTTGGAGGCCCTTTCACCTCAAAAATATATCTGGAATTGGCCTCTATTTTTTTAACCTCCACTGTAGGCGCCAGGACCTCGCTGGACGTGCTCTTTCTGCATATTCCACATGCATGGGAATTTTAATTCAATCCGCCGGGTCTAAAGACTCGTGCGCTACGTTTAACTTGACCCGGTCCAAACGGAGAGGAGTGGAGTAGAGGGGAGGGGAGGAGCGAGGGAGTGGGGTGCGGCAGTGACCCCGAGATGGTTATGAGATCCTCCTCACCTGCAGTATCTCATTGCAGACAAACAGACGCAGACGTGCCGACCAATCCAGGTAGGTCTCCAGGTTGCACGTCTTCTTTGGATCCTGGGCTCCTGGCGGTCCGCCCGACGAGGATGGTTGGTCCCATTTCTTCTGCATTAAAAAATGAAACAGCCCAGAGATGTTGTTGAAATGAGTTGGCCAGCGGAGCGGATGGAAGCGTTGAAAGTGGGGGTGTTCTGTGTGCGGTGTTCGAGGGGGAGCATTGTTAATGAAGCTGCTTGTCGTCATTTTAATTGCATGTCCTTGTGAGTTTTGTGTGCCTGCATGTATGTGAGTGTGTGCTGTGAATCTGGGCGAGGGTGTGTATGTGACTGTTCATGTGAGAGAGGGCTCACTGTAATTTATGCAAAAGTGCAGATTGTTCTTATGGCGAATGTTGACTTTTTCAGGGAGGGGAATTTGCAACTGAGCGAGCGTTTAACCTGAATGATTTAATTTAATTTATCCTAAATTAATCTGGCTTTCTGGGGGCGTGCCTGGGTAGGCCAAAAGTAATTACAGAACCAAAATGCTTTGAGTTCATGGTTTAAGGAGACTTTTTGGAATAAGTTATGTTTGCGGTGATTCTTAATAGAATTGACAACAAAGTTTCGATTAGTCTTAGAGCTTAAACTAATTATTTGTAAGCTAGCTCAAATATGTTGTAATTTCGTACGACATTATTGACTTTTCAAAGCGGTATGCATAATCCCCTCTCTGCTTAATGTTTTCATAAAAGCCAGTTTGGAGCTCATCTAGAAATTCATTGTTTTGGCCTAATTATTATGCAACTGACAAAAGAGCCTAATGGGAAAATCCACAAAGAGTGATACCTTAATCGAATAAGCAAAGGATATTGTATTAAAATAATATGAATCAAATTGCTTATTCCAATTATAATAGTTTATTCAATTAAAGTTTAATCACAACGTATATATTTTGTTTTGACGAATAAGAAAATTATTTCAAAAATCTTGAAAAGTTTTAAAAATTTTTTAAGTTCTTGAAGGTACACACGTAAACATTTTTGCATATTTTAAATACCAAAAAAGCACATTTTAACTGACACTGCACCTGGTGATGCTTACCTGCTTGTCGAGCAGAATCATGCTGCTGCACTGGAGGAACTCCTCTCCACCGATGTGCTTGGCCAGTTTTTTCTCCAGCCGGCATACTATTTGTGCGTACTGCGTGGCCGTCGGACAATTGAGTGGAGTGTCGCCTACAGACTGGGGTGAAGAGTTGGGAAAATGAGAAAATTGAGAAAACGCGACAGTTTCCCAAGCAGGGGATTAGTCAGATTGCTCTTATAATGGCTAGGGTTGAAGGCTTGACTGTTTTCGAGCCGACAATAAAAAGGTTTTGGCTAAGAATTACAATTTGTTATAAATCTTTCAGATGATATAAACTAGCAGAAATATTTGTTAAATTTGAATATTACTTATGTGTTTTTAAAAATGGTGAAACTTATTCTTTACAAAGAAGATATTTTTAAAGATTATCCACCTGTTTGTTAAAGACTATTTTTATATAAATTTACAATTTTTTTTCGATATTTGTTGAGCATATGTTCCTACTTGATGGACTCAAGCGAACCTCTGTCACTTTTTCCTAGATAGTGGGCTCTAATCCCTACTTTGGCAGCTCGGATCCAGGTGCCTCGGGTGGCAACCACTCACCTTGTCATTGGTCTGGCAGGCTCGGAGGTCCGCCTCGTGTCTCTCTAAATCAGTCAAACGTTTTAGTAAGGCACTCAGTGTTTGGGAGACAACGGCTTCCAAATGCGAATTGGAACATCTGCGAACGGGTTTGAGATGTAGGTTGATTGGAGGCAATTTAGCTAAGCTAGGACAGGGGTAAGTGGCCTTTCCCGGCTCGTTTCTCCTCACCTGGCAACGATATGTTTGACATGGCTCATCATCCGCTCATCCCGGTAGTCGTAGGGGAACTTGGTGGCCCACTCGGACAGCAGGGCAACTAATGATTCTAAGCATTCGCTTTCAGGTACCGAGTCCAGGAGTTTGGCCAAAAGTTCGTGGGGTCGCAGGAACAGGCGGGACGTCAGTAAAAACGAGAATACAAATTCCTGAAAATGAAAGAATTTTGAATAGAGACAATTGTAGAATCGGAACTGCCAATGGAAAATATGATAATTTTTCAGGTGTCCTTGGATAAATTTTGCTCCTTAATTCTCTCTTATATTTCCCATTTCAATTCAAAATATAGTTCCCATAATATTTCCCTTTCAAAGTTCAGCATTTCGTAGCTAGTCAAATATCAAATTAAAAAACTTATCGTGTCCTTCAAGCAATGATTAGGTCTCTAGGGTTGAACGATGTCAGACATTTTGTAAGTAATTGTGATCCTGTTCTTTAGTTTGTTTTTTGGGTTTCTGCCACTTATCCTCTGCCAAGGGCATCTCACATTCCCCCATCAAATTAGCGCTAATCTCTGGATTTGTTTGCAACGAATTAATTATTTTTGCACTTGCTGCTTGTGGCCACCAGGATGGTTAGCCACACACACACACACTTGCACAACAGATGGTCGTTGTTTCCTGCCTTTTAGTCCTTTGTTTCATGTGGCCCTTGGAACTTGTGTCCTGGGCACAGGACTCCGACGTTTGCCGCCTCTTGGTTTGTGGTTCTTGGCTCGTGCCAGCAATTCTGTTGGCAAATGTTCAAGTCTTCAAGTGTTTGCGACTAAGTAGGAACTGATTTGTATTCCATTTGGCGTCTGCCGTAGGGCAGTGGCCTATGAATGCGATTAGGGGTGAGCTGATTTGGACCTTCTGGTGGGTTGCCCTTGCAGTGATAGGGCTTTAAAAGGACACAGAGTTTTAAAAGAGCATTCAGCAGGGTATTTTCCTTATCGTTTAATTTCATTGTTGCTTTAAGAATAATAAGTATTTAGTTGGAAGAAATTCTTTCCTAGCCACATAGCATATAGATTATATAATTATATAATTTAATTTTAATTAATTATTATTAATACCAGTAACATACCTTATCTAAGTCGATGGCATTTTTGGGCAAAAGCGATTCAATCAGGGAGTCCAGTGGCCCAGAAACTACTTTACCATTTATGTATAAAATGCCTCCGGACCCCAATACTGAGCTCTGAAAAAATTTAGGAAAATATTTAATATTAAAAGAGTTCTCTATTGAAACAACTAACCAAAATCAAAACCAATTTGTCTAATTAAATCTGTCTGGAACCGGTTTTAATTACCGCAAGAGCTTACCTCGAAATTAATATCACATTGGCTGCGTTTGTGTGGATTTTTGGGCACATCATACTGAACAGTGTCATCCTTTCTCGATCCAACCGACTTTATAGTGCCAAGCTGTGGGATAAACACTCCAATTGTATAAAAAAGGTGCAACACATGTTGACTTAAATTTTGGAAATATTTGGATATGCGTAGCTTTTTATGGTCTTTTTAAGTAGCAGAAACTTCTTAAACATTATGACTGGCATACGTAATGTACATATGGATTTATTGTGAAACCCAGTGCGTACTGGGTACAATATCTTTAAATCCATACATATTTTTTTTTTATCATATTTAAGAATTAAAAATAAAACTTTAATTTCTAAAAAGAATCATTAAAGTTTTACTTTAATTTATTAATATTCTGTTAACGTTATCGCTTCTAATATGTATGTTATATAGGTCATGTTATATATGTATAGGTAAAGTTTCCATTGAACTATAAGGTCATTGGCATAGAATTAGACCACATTAATTTTTCATATTTAACATATTCGTTTTATATATTCGAAACATTTTTAAAGTTATGTTCAAATGCATTAAAAGTGCACATTAAGTTTCCATTTAATTAAGAAGTGGGGAATGAATTTCACTCTTTAGTTAGAAAAAAGTTGCTAAAAACTAAATTTTATTAAATTTAATTCCAACAAAAGGATTCTTGCTTTGTTTGGCCTAAAAAAATTCAATTGAGGACCGGATTTTTGGCACTCACCTCGATTTGCTGAAACCCCATTTCCAGGTCGTGGGCACTCAACTGCTCGGCGCTGTGCCGTCGTCTGTAGCGAATGCCACCGCTCCCGAGGAGCGCCGACTCCGCTGCCAAATGTCCCGGGTCCAGCGAGAATATTCCGCCATCGGTGGGAAGGGGATGCACTCCTGGCCCGCCTTCTGGGTCCGTTTCTAAACCTCCTGCCATTTGGTCACTTTCGGGAAAGCAATCATCCGCAGACTCGCTGTCGGAGCTGCTGCCGCTGCTAATTTGACAGCGCCGACGGTGGTGCCGACGGTGGTGGTGTTGGCGACATTTGTCGCGATCGCGCTGCCCGCGCGACTTCTGCAGCACGGTCTGGCGGCAGCGCGTCCCGCAGGCGATGGCAGATATCTTACTGGCATAAAAGTACATCGCCATGTGTCACGTTCGTTTCGCCGCTTTTGACGCGGTCATGTGTGTGTTGTGCGCTGGGTGAGTTGGGGCTGATTGGGACTTAGTGGAGGTGCGTGGAAGGCCGGCTGGGAGATTGGGAGCTACGGATTTTCGCTGGGAGGGCCTTCTGTGTGGCTCCGCCTGCTTAATGCATGGCCACGCAGCGGGCAGGTGGCTGGGTGGCTCTCCTCATGGCCGGGCACGTCCAATCAAACGTCAATTACGAGAAGGATTAGAAGGTGACTGCAGAGAAAAAAATAAGGGAGGCATTTCATAATATGAATGAGGAAATAGAGTCCAGGGATTGATAAGTAATCGAAAAGATATCCTTTTTTTTAGGTTTTTGGATTATAAAAAAAAGTGAAAACTATATTTTAAACGTAATTTTTATTTAAAGAAATGGATTGTGTGCGATTGACCATATATGCACTCTGGAGTCTAGAATCTAGATGCTTTACCAAATACCAAAAGAAAAGAATCAGACGAAATCGTCTTAAAAATTGGAAAATATTTTGAAAAATGGTTATGTTAATTAAAATTTAAAAATTGTTCATTAACTTAAATACTTTTACAATAACTGTACCATTTTGGGCAGTGTAATAATTGCATTAACCGAAGAACTTCCGACCTTTCAGACCGGATACGCTTCAACCTCGTTCCGGGCTTTTCCCGATTTTCCAATTTCTACACTCTACATAGGCGGCTTATGGTTCTACCATCTGCTTGGAAAATCAAAAAATGGAAAACCAAACTGCGATGGGGCCAATCCCAAATGAAAACTGCGACGCTTCATGGCTCACTGGCTCACGCGGCGTCAACAAGTCAACGTTGCGGTCAATAGCAGCACATTACTCATACGCCGCGTGGTCCGGGCAGGCAACCAGGCAGAGGCTTAAATCACAGAGTGTCTGGCGCTTGCCACGCGTATATATCTGTGTTAGGTTATGGTTAGGGTTATTATCCCTTTGGGGCCACTTGCGACTCATCAGCCCATAGACATGTGCGGACCATCAATAAGGGCGTAACCGAAAAGGGGGGCGGCAGTTTCGGGATTGGCCCCGACACGGGTCGATGGCAGTCATTAAATCACTGCAGATGCGTTAAGGGCCGAGCCAACAAAAAATCAAAGCTGATGTATGGATCGGTTCAAGGTTATCAATGAACCAACATTTTGGCTAGGCCTTGTCGGGATATCTTATTCACACTGCCGTGAAAGAAAAACTTGGGGTTAATCTGTGACTTTTTGGGGAAATTTGAAATTTTGATTGGATATTGAGAGAAAAGAATCTCTTGAAATTAAGAATAAACGGTACATATATAAAGAACAACTTGTCAATATTGTATACAATAATACAAAATATATAAATTAAAAAAATTTATATATATAATTAAAAATTGTATATCAATGCATCAAAGGGCTTTTGGTGAAAGGAAAATAAGAATTAAATCAAACACAAACAGGAAACGCCTGAAGAAATCCCTCCACGTTCATTTTTTTGTGCGGACCACTCAAGGGCTTTCAGGGAAGAACTGGAGGCGGTGGCAGTTGGCATTAATGGGGATTAACCTTCCATAAAAGATAACGACACTGCACGGCGGGCACCTGTACAATGTATGCGGATGAAATCTACATCTCATATTAAATATGCAGGCACATGAATCGGAAGAAGCGTGCGTGATGGATAAAGGGAATTTCATATGGGAGACGCCTCTTTGCACCTGACCGACTGAATATGGAAATGAGAGCGGAAATCGAATTTCTATTAGGTTAATGCTCGCTCCGGGCCTTAAGGTGGCCCTTTGTCAGACGAAAGTTCAACAGTTGCGGATGAAAGCAGGTTCGGAGTAATTGACGCCACTGCCAGGCTCCAAAAATTGAACCAATACTTATCTTGACAGTCCTGCCTTCTGTTGCGTCACTCGTAAATTGCCAATTAAGTCGGAGGACCTTCGAGGGGAAAGCGTGTTCTTTTACCATGATTGTTGTTTTAGGTTCATTTTAGGTTTGTTCCTTACACAACCGGAGTATGCATAGCAAATCATGTTTAGGTACTAGCTGCACCCGTTCATATATAATCTCATTTTACGACATAGCTAAATCGGCTTTTAAAGAGTTTATACGGTATTGTATATCTTTTCCAATCCAGATGGCGTGTCCTTTTGTTAAGGAATCGCCAACAGAGTGCTGGATTCTGAAGCTCAAGAAACTGCATAATCTGGTCAGCAATCGTAGAGGAAACAGAAACGGACGTATGATTCCGAAAAATGCTCAGACAAGAATCGGTACAAGGATATACGAGTGTGGCCGAAAACCAGGATGTGTGTGGTGGGGCAGAGGCTCTGCTCAGCATATTTACATTGTGTTTTCCTACATTTCGAGAGCCTCAGAACATTACCATGCTCAAGTGAGCGCAACAAAGGCGGAACACACACAAAACTTATGAAATATATTCGGGCCAACTTGTACACACTTAACTACAAGTTATGTCGGCCACGCCTTCTACGCCGGAGCCACCCCTCGTCGGAAATATAGACAAAGAACGAAATGGAATAAATCTTCGGGCATTTTTTGTCGGGCTCGGTCCGGGGCTTATTATAATTCCAATCATGTCGTTAGACTGCAGATCCGAATCTATGCAGATGGCTGGCGAATGAAGTATTTTCAATTTTAATATTGACAACGCTGGGTTGTTGGCCCTCATTTCCTTTTTGGCCAAGTAACCCAGCAACAAGGATTTCAGGGAGGAAGGAGGAGCAGTAAAATATCAATATGGCTGACACATTTTATTTCGTTTCGATGCCCATTACCGATGTCCTTGCCTACAATTTTGTGCTCGAGATCCCAAAAATAAAGGGAACGAAATGCCGATGAAAAAATCAATCAATTACGTTGAAGCCGATAAAATTATTCCGAGAAGGCCCTAAGAATACGTCTGCCCCGCAAAATGAATACTAAATGAGGGTAAGTTCCTCTAGAGCATCCACTCCGACCAGAAACCGCCATATCTTAAAACAAGCACTTGTTTTCACAAATTTATACCACAATTTTACCACAGTCTTATGCCGGCGCTCTGGCACGGACATAAAAATTCCTTCGGGCTGCACTTTCTTGTCCTTTTGCACTTGATCCTTCTGGCCCGAGGGCGAGTTCAATTATTAATAACTTAATTAGAAGAAATGCGGATGGAAGCAAAGGATTCAATTGCTTGCGGTTCCTCGCCAAGGAATGTTTAGTGGCATTTCATTTCTGAAGCTGCTAGTTAGTCTGTCAAATAGCATCGGAAACATTATTTGGAATATTTGCAGCTTGATTCGAATATTTGAGTATCCATCCGGGATATCTGGCATATTTTGGTCCATCCTCCAAGTCAGTTTTGGGCCTCGGGGTGGTGGGGGCCGGAACCACATTTCCTCGCCCCAAGGAGCAGCTGCTGCAAGTGTCCTCGAATCTATTAGCATAAAACTGATAAAAATAAACTGACGTCGTTGTCGTTGTCAACAAGCAGCTCGCTGGAGTGGGGGTGCCAACAACAAGATATCCGACAAACAAACAAAAACAATCAGCTAACAGCAAACTGGCAACAAATTTCCGCTGTTAGTCGAGCAGGGACTACAAAGGATAACCGCAGAGTGGCGTGAATTTGAGCCGAAAAGTTTCGCTTTAAAGCTTCTTCTTGCCGAGCTGGTCTTTGATTAAAAATTCCCTGCCCTCATTACTTTTTGCTTGAAACGCAGGCCCTGTTCCATTTTTAATAATTTGTTTTTCCATTTTCCATTAACGATTGATTTGATCGGCTTGCATTCTGTTTACTTTCACTTTGCTCGTTTTGTTTTATGCAGTTTTGTTCGCTTTTTCTGTACTACTGGGGATTTAAAATCAATTACGTTGTTGTTTTTTCTACTCCGTGTTGATATTTATTGGCAAACGCTATTTGCAGTGGTGGCTGTCATGGGTATTTACAAAAAGTCATTGATTTTTCACTTTTATCACTTTATTGCATTGAGTCCAATACTTTTTTTCCGACGTTCTTTTATCTATTTACTGCCGATTGGCGATTAAAACGGTCTAGTAATGTGTCGAATGTTTAATAAGCTTTTCGAATCAAGGGATTAATTTAATGCAATTTTCTGGCACTAGATGGAAATATAATATTTGATGTGAAAATTACACAACTTCATTGGCAATGGAACTGCAATAATCGTATTCGGCACTCCCCACACTTTAAAAGCAAATTCACAAAAAAAATCTGTATTGTTGACCGTTCAAGCGTTTAAATGGCTTCCGTTTTCTTCGCAATCAGCGAACTTGGCCAGAATTATTTACATTAGATTTAATTAGCATTTTTCACGCTTTTGTCTGCAGACAAGGGCTGCCAACGGCGCTAATAAAAGTCCTTCAAATTACACCGACATTGTCTCTGGACTTGTTAACTCAGCGCCACGCCAGTTGTAAGGTCTTAACGAAGCCAAAGTTAAAAAGCACTTTGCACTTGATTTTCTTCCTCCTGTCGCCTTTTCCGCCCGGCTGACGATTTCCTCTAGGACCAGCTTAAAAGTACAAAATTCTAAATAGAACGGAGAGAAAATAAAATGAGGAGCGGCCAGAAAACTGTCAACGCCACGGTTCTGTGTGTCATAAAGTGGCACGAGAGAAGACCAAAATTAAATTACTTTGACTTTCGATGTGGTCGTAAAAAATGCATTTGGGTCAGGCCCCGAATCGTGAGGGATGTCAGTCCCGGCCAAGAGGTCATTAGGGGAAGCCCAAAATTAATGCAATGCCAGATACACGGAGCCCGTTTAATGACTTTTGGATTGTTTTATCAGATAATTTATTACGATCGCCGGATAGACCAGGCCACCGCAATAAACCTAAGCCATGCAAATTTCGGCTCCAATTTTTCGATTTTTATCTGCTCTCTACATTTTTATAGCCGCTGTAAAGTGAAAGCCAAAAGACAAAAGGGAATCAAGAAAATCGGCTCAGAGTCTCAAAGTATTCTGGCATCATCATCAATCTTTCCGGCAAAATGTTGGCAACTGCATTGCCAAGACAATTGACAAATTGACGTTGGGGTTTTTCCGCTCTTCCTCCGTGATGTGTTTATGCAAATGCAGCTGGGATCGGAGCAGGTGGATTCGCAAGGATACGCCGGAGAATAAGTCCTAATGATATGGGTATTTAAGGGATTTTTATTCGATTTAAGAAGGTGGTCTCATCTACGAATAAATTTTATATAAGAGGGCTCATATACATATACATAAGAAGTATAATTTCAATGAAATATTACTACTTTCATTCTACGAGAAGAACAAAAGGCTTGTTTTGGAAAATGTAGCCCACATAGCCCACATATTCAAAAAATATATATTATACGAACACCATGTTTGTTCTCACATTGGTTTCACATTTTACAAAACTTTTAGTTTATGCCTTTCAAAGCTTTCAGAAAATTCAATTTTTTTTAAATTTTATCCTCTACCACAGGAAATTTAAAAACTCGAGGCATATTAAAAAAATGTTAATTACAGGAAGTACATGTTCAACGGCTTTCATCAATTAATGAATCTCCATTACACCGCTTGCACTCGGAGTGGCTTGCTATCGACAATGCGACGGGATTCCTTACGCAATCAGTTCGATTCGACCATTAATCGAATATGCATTATTGTTTAACAGCCATAAGTAAATGGCAGTCGCAGGCAGAGCGCGGAAATGAACAGTTTAAGCCATCTGCAATGGGAAATAAAGTCGAACAACAACCCAGAAAACTGTAAACAAACTGTCGCATGGCGGCCAGGGACAGAGGGCCGGGCCGCATGTATCAGAGCACATATTGGCAATCGGAGCTCAATGAGGCACCCGACATTATCGACATTACCGCTTTTAACGGTAACGGTAACGGTTACAGGAGCGTATAAATTATGCATGGTTTTCGAGTCGGCAGTGTTGTGTTTTCGCAAACAGTCGGATTTTTCCTGCTTTTATCGCGGATATTTTTCAACCGAGGAAAAAGGACTCGCAATATGCGAGTGAGTGGGGCTGCGAGGCCCAAATTACAAGTTAATCGAACGTTGCATACTTACAGGGGCAGTCAGTCGCCTGGAACCATATGCGATATTGCTTATTTATGCCAGAAGAACACTTTCGGCAATGAACAATTTAAATTCATAATTATTGATTTTCTGTTAAGAAATCACCGGCTGCCAACTGCGCGCTTCATATTTTTTTAGCCGATTCCATAAATACGAATAGCTTTGGATGGAAGCGCTGAACTGGGTGTGGTGTTTTCCTGCACCCTCTGCACTTGTCAGTCGTTACGCGGCTCGCAGTCTTTCTGCCAAACGGAGGACTCCCATGCGAACTTTATTTTTTTACAGAGCGGATGGTTTTAATTACTATTCATTCGTTGCAGCATTTCACTTTGTTTCATCAATTGATTCTAACATTGATTCATATTCTTTCGTGTTTAACAGAATAAACTTCACACTTCTAATTTGTCAAAAAGTTGTTTTTCAAATACCGAGTTTTGAATTCAACACCAGTCGCTGCATAATATCCGCTCCCTAAACCGCGCACTCACAGAATCCCCGAAGAACTGAAGTGCTGGCCAAGCCTTGGCTGTACTGTTAAACGGTTTTGGCCTTTTTCGACTTGGCTAACAGAGGTCTGGGAAATTGTGGAAATTGTGGGACCATCAAACTTGTTGCAAGTCCTGATTCGAACCTCCGGTGTGGAACTAACACGGCTTCCATACTCGTCCTGCATGAAAAGATTTATAAGGTTTATTTTGTTTTTAATAAAACAAATGACTTAAATGCATTTGTCAATTAAACAAATATAGAACATTTGATAATACTATTTATGGTTAAATTCACTACTATTATTTATCCCTTAATGAGAAATAAAAAACAGTTGTTCTTTTACTTTTTTTTTTTACAAGGTATACTTATTCTTTTTCAAACTAAATCCAATATTTCACTGGACCCAAATAACTATGTTATAGACTGTTATTTTATAGGTTGTAACTAAATTCAAAAATAAAGTTTATAAGAACTAAAAATAAGCCAAAGTTCCTTTCAATATTCTATGTAAATCTAACATTTTGAAGAATCTATTTTCCAAATGCCACTTGCATTTTAAAATTTTTTTTTTTAAAAGTTGCAATTTAAACCTAAAATGTCTTAACTTGTGTGGTCCTAGTTACTTTTTGGCTAAGCCAGTTTTCTGTGGCTAAGCCTTTCCGCAACTCTGTTCTCGGCCAGAACAAATTGCTTGTAATGTTAACAAAGCTTGGAAATGGCCAGGACGCATTGCTTTAATTACCCAACCTCATATCTTGGCGACACCTAGAAATATGCCCTACAAATGGAAACTCATCTGCTAAATGCGTGTGTGGGCGCGGTACATACATGCATGGGGCTACAAGGACTCCCCCGTTAATGGTGAATTACGCCCCAGCTTATCTGCCAACCCAGAGCATCCCCTGGTAACTGATATCTTTGTTTACTCAGCTGCGTTTTCAAATGTCTGGCCATTTTTTGCCTCTTTTTGTCTCCTTTACGGTGTGAAAAATGTTTACGATGTCCTATCTTTCCCGGCTGTCCTGGAAACACTAGAAGCCACTGCCAGAAGCCACTGCTAGAAGCCAATGAAAAATCTATATTTAAATGCGATAATAATGTCTGGGTCTCCGGCTAAAGCTCGAGCTACAAATTAGCGAAATCAATTTCGAAATTTCATTGAGTCCTCGAACTTTTCCTTTGGGTCAGCAGCTCACACACACACACACCCCACACCCACCCACTCACACACCTCAACCCGGGCCAAGCATTTTTGAGGTCACTACGAATTTGATGCCGGGCCAACTTTCTAGGCAAAGGCAAAGTTTTAAGTAGTGGCTTAAATTTTATATTTCTAGCAAAAATGCCAGCCCTGCTCCAGGGACCTTTGCAGCCGGTTGGCAAGTTTAAATGTTTGCAGAGAATTTTAATTCATTTATAAAATATTCTCGGAAACTGGCCTTTTGCAGCGGCCCTACCAAGGCCCACCAGGCTGCCGTGTGGATTAAGTGCAACGCTTGGCCGACTCTTAAATTAATGAAATTCTGTGTGTTTCGAGTGTAAGTTAGCCGTAAGCTTTTTGTCTCTACGCCAATTAGCCGACTTCCTGCAAGCCCATCTGTGGGATTTGGACATATGGAGGAATTTAAGGAGAATACTTGCATCAGTAGAGAACCTGCTATTTTATTTTTGATTACTTCATGAGCACTTGTCGGAATGTACAAAGTTTTAATTGACCCAAAAGTAAAGCCATAATAATATGCAACTTCTGATGGCTATTATTATTTCTTCGAGTGCCACAAAGTTTAAAGATCTCCACCGTCCGGGGAGTACAAACAGCTGCGATTGGTTACTTCAATTGGCCATCTATTGTCTAAACTAATGTTGGCCCTCTTGCGGCTTTCGAGACGTGGCCTGGCCCATTGGAGGAATTTAGTTTTGGTCAAAGTTTTCTCCCATTCTCTCTTCGGCCAAGAAGTTAAATGTTTTCGCTCAAGAACTTTCTAAATGCTTTCACGATACTTTCTAGTGTTTTTGAGTTACCTGACTCCCTTTTGGCAAAATCAAAGTGTGCAACATTTATTTACTTTTCTGGCTTTTATTTCTGCGAGGTCTTGGCAACATATTGAATGGAATTTATGAAGCTTACACCTGTAGTCCATATGAGGTAATGCTGATGCACAAAAAGAGTTTTAAAGACTGTTTGAAATGAAAAAGTGAAAAAAACTAAAACACTTATAAAAGGTGGCTATGGTGTCTATGTTAGAAACGATCCAGATTAAGGAAATAAAGAAGTCTTCAAAAGTAGATAAGTTATTCGTCTTGGGTCATAATTTATTGGATTCCAAGATGCAACATTAATTTGCTGGCTGGTGGCATGAGCTTGTCATATTTACCTCAAGCTGCACAAAGTGCAATCGCAGCAGGACCAAGGGTAGGGCCTTTCGGGACTAATCCCCTGCAATGACATGTCAGTTGGCTGCTTCAGATACGGGGATTTCCAACACATGCAAATTGTTTGACGGAGAGGGCCGAGGTGAGAGCTGGATCTGGGGGAAGTCCATGTCTAATCCAATTTCAATTGCTTAATCCGCCATGACTGACACTAAGAGCGAAGTTGAAAGATGGCCGCAGGCAAAGGATACGCAGAGAGGATATGAGAGGGAGCACGGTCGGCCCCACATCTTTACGCACCAGAGCACTTGAAATATTTGCTCTGGCTTCGCTATTGAATTACGCACCCATCCGAGCCCGCACACACATTCGCACACATGTCAACATATCATGTTACACATCACTTTGTGTGTGCGCTAAGTAAGTTGTAGTTCGGCAGCCCAGAAACGGATACGGAAACGGAAGCGGCTCCAAGGACCTCTCCCGCCCACCATTCGACCCGCCCACGGTCCCTCTCACAAAATCACAATGTTGACCCTTTTATTTCGACTGGAAGTTTTATAACCAAAATGTAGTAGAAGGAAAATAAAGAAAACGAAACACACACACGTCAAAATAAAGGATCTCATGCTGTGTTTGCTCAAGTTTTATGTGTGCACAGATTTTACGAGCGAGCTGAACAACGGCACGTAACTCAAGGCCCGGCTTAGTGGCCCCTGACCCTCGCCCGGGGTCAGCCCGTTATGGGATGCATTTTAAATGGGATTGCACATGACGCTCTTGTGGCCCAAAGCCCCAAGAGAAAATCAGAATCCGCTCGATAAGCTGCCTTGCAAAAGCCACACACAATAAGAGCAGGGTGTTCAAAGAAATTCAATTAAATTCATTAAATGCCATTTAACGGATAATTGTATTTCCATACTCTCACTGAGAGGTCAGGCTTAAGAATTATATCAATTCCTCTCCAAAAATATTATTAAAATACAATACTATTTAAATAGTATTAAGAAGAAAGTAAAGAAGCTTATATTCTCCATTCTCTGAACCCTTTATAATAGTTTAAATTTTGGAAATCTCATTGTATCTCTCATCTCATCTCATCTTGTAAATCTCATCCGAATATATACGATTCCGGGATTTTTGGAGTCTTAAGCCACATTGCTTGAAAAAAGATTAAGTTTCCACACATTTGTTTGATGTAGTTAGTAATTTATTTAGAAAACGACGAACCAAAAATCAAAACCAAACGAATATTTTGGCAATAAGGCTTGATTTAATGTTGTAGTTTGCATGAGTAACACCTTTTTTTATATTTAATCCTAGAGCATTTAAAGTCCCTGATTGTGCCGAAGCTCCTTCCTCCATTTCGTGATTTTTTTATCGCCTACACAGGCGAATAGCAGGCTGTCCTGCTGACAGAGCGCAATGCGGTTTAATTAGTGCACCTGACAGGCTGTGACAATGCAGACATGCACTTGCCTGTGGTTGGCGGTGGGAGACCCGAAAGTTTGGTTTTTTATCCAGAGAATCCAGCTTGAAAGGGGATCGGACGTAAAACACGTTTTCAATTAGCAACACTTTCCGCGGACCGGGGCACAGGCTAATAATGAGTTGACAAATGGCTTCTGTCAAACAAAAGCGGCGCGGAATAAACAAACAAACAAACCAGACGACGACGGCGACACGTCTTGCTGCTATGCAGTGTTCGTGACTTTGTGTGAGCGTAGGCAATTCGCCACGCCCACTTGTCAACTTTAGTGGCATTCAACCCCCACCCACTCAAGCCGCCCACCCACTCACACCGATCCACTCACAGAGAACACAGAATCGTCAACTTACAGGGCTCGGCTAAAGTGTCGCGTAATTTATTTTCCACCTCTGGGCTCCGACTGACAAATGAGCTGATAATTTTCACCATATCCTGTCATTGTCAAGGACAACAGGGGGCAGGATGGGTGGACGGTGGAGGCGCAGGAAGAGCTAATTCATGGGCTGGCATTGCCTAATCATCTGAAGGCTTTGTCTAGCCGCTGACAGGAGAAATTAATTTGTGTTTGGCTGCCTGTTTGGCATTTGTGAGTTATTGACGGTGCAAACCCCTATATGGGATATGGAAATGGATGGGCTGTGGCTAAGAAAGCCTACTAAACCCTCATACCTAAAACTTATCGTTTGTGTAGTATTTGTCTTCATCATGTGATTTTAAGGAGCGAAAAACTTTCAAATTAATATTAATGACAAAATTAAGGAGCCCTCGAATTACTTCTCAAGACATGGGCTGCAAGCCACACTCGCATATAATATATCTGAAAGTAAGTAAACAAGTGTGTATTCCTGGAGGTTTTCCTGGAGATGCGCAACAACTTTATTTTTCTGACAAACT